ATGACACTGAAGTTAGCAGACGTCTAAAAATTTTTGATTTTTTTTTATTAATTAAATTACAACTAAAAAAATTTTTCTAAAAAATTGCACTTATAGATTTTTAAGTTTTTTACATGTGACAATTTATTTTTAAGTTTTTTTAATTAAAAGTTTTTTAATAAAAAATTTTGAAATGTCGGCTAACTTAATTTTCATATTTTTACAGGTCTTAAGTTTAAAAAATTTTAAATAATGAAAAAATCATTTGCCGATTTAAAAAATCTAAAAGTAGTCGAAACTTTTTAAAAAAAATTTTTTTTCCAATTTTTAATAAATTGTTTTTTTTTTTTTTTTTTTTTATAAAATGAAGGAAAGTCCAAAAAATTTTTTTAATTTTGAAACTTTTTTAATATTCGAAAAAAAGAAAGCTGAAAAGATTTTTAGAAAAATTTGAAATAATTTCTTATTAAAAAAATGTTTTTATAATTATAAAAATTTCTTTACACTAATTCATATTTAAAATAAAATTTTTAAATTAAAAATATTGTAAAAAAAAAAACAGCAGTGATTAATTGTAGTAAAAAGAAAAAATTTTACAAAGACAATAAATCGATTTCATCTTGACCAAAAAAATTTTTAAAAATAATAACAATATTGAAATTATTACAATTGAATCCAATTTATCAGTAATTAATAAAATGCGGATGCAAAAAAGCATGTTTAATAATTAATTATTGTTATTATATACTTGTATAAGATATGTTACGAAAAAACTTTCCTCGAAATGTCTACTTCAGTAATATAAAGTGAAGCCGCTCAATCTTTATATCACTTATAAAGTGAAGTAAAGAGTAATTATATGTAATAAGAAGTGTAAAATCTCTCTATACGCTAGTAAACTTGAATAGTTCATGTACTTTATACCGTAGAGTATAAAAAAAGATTAAAAAGGGCAATAATATTATACGTCGTCTGCAATCAGAAAGTTGTAACCTGGTATATATGTATAGGTGAATGGCATACAACTAAAGTAAAAGTATAAATTTTGTTGAGAGAGAAAGTCTAACAGGAATACATGGAGATTTATTTCTGGATTATTAAGAAAAAAAATATTTGCCATGCATTCCTTGATATAAAAAAAAAAAAAAGAAATTTTTGCGCGACTCATCTACATTATTACATATCATATTGTGTATTACATTATTCACTGGTATAAAAACAAATAAAACTAGTTATTTCAATACACATGCTACCACGGACATGCTAAAAATAATATTATTAATTTATATAAAAAGTTATAATATATATATCAGGAAGTATAACACTATATAGCTACAACGGCAACAAAACTTTCTCATGCACTTACATACGTATAAATCGGCATTACTTCAACGAAATATTTATATAAAAATTTCTTATCTAGATAGTGTTATGCATCGTGAAAAAATTAATACCATTTTATTTTTTAACGTTAAATCAACATTAAGTACATAAAAGCATCTTGCCTTTGTAATATAGCTTGATATAAATTTATGCGGGACGTACACTCGTTTGATGGTGCACACACGCTGCAGGGACTTGATCAAAAGGGCATTGCTAGCAGGATAACATACTACAGTATTTTAGGGACCTCCCCCATATAGTCTTTGGAGATTTAACAGCTTACACCATATAAATAGTCTGTAAAAAATAAACTCATGTTTTAATTTTTTATATTTTAAGCAAATTTTATAAATTAAATATAAATAAATAAAATAAATGAAAATTTCTCTCAGCAAAAAAACGTAACAATTTCTTCCCTGGTAAATTTTATCATGCAAACTTTTTTTACGGGTGTTTATTTTCTAGCGAATATTTGTTTAAAGAGGAGAGTAAAAATAAATTTAATGGTTAAAAATAGTGGAATAAACGGCGTTGGATAAAATGTAAATGAATGGGGATTTGATAGGGCGTCGGAACAGGGAATCATGGATGCACAGGAGAAGGATTTAGCGACTGCAGGGTCTGTAGAAGGCCCAGTCGCAGTCGAACACAAAGGCGAATGAGGTACCAAAGATACAGTGAGAATTTACACTCAACCCCTGGATAATAACGCATACATGCGTGGCCGTGTACTATACATGTTTCAAGGCTACTGGACTACAGGAAAATATCCCGCATTCATTTGTATTATATTTACGTACATACAGGCTTCGTCAAACGTGAAAGTACTTGAATTTATATATATATATGCTTGTACATGGCAAATACACACGTGTTATGTGTGTTCTTTTCAGAAATATTACATCTATTGCCGTATGATATTACGAAACAAAATACAATGACATAACAAGTATCAAGGATGTAGAAGATGTAAGGAGATTCGGTGTGTACTACAGACGTATGGGGATAGGGGATGACTTAACTTGTATTTGTAAGCATATTGTCGTTTTTTATTTATTAAGTTTACAATTATTTATTTTTAATTTTCAGAACTTTGGATAATTTTATCATTAAAATTTTATTGCTCTTTTTTATAAAATTAAATGTTATTATTTATTATTAATGTTTTATTTTAAAATTCATTTTTTAAAAAAACTTTTTTAGGTAAATTATTATTATTATTATAAATGAATGTCGCCAATCGGCGGATGTTCAAATAAATAAATAATTGTGTTAAAAATTATTATATTGCAAATTTATGTATCAGAAAAATTTATTCTTAAGATGAAAAATTAATTTGAGAATTTAAAAGATTATTTTTAAGCTGGTTTACTTAAATTGGTTACTAAATTTTAGGGTATATTAATTATTTAAAGCTAATTATAGTTATTTAAAAGGAAAATTAAAAAGAAAAACAATTTTTGTTTAATTTTTTTTGTATCTTCGAAACTTTAAAATAATATTATGGATTATTCTGGAAAAAGATAAGAATATTTATTAATGAAGATATCAAAATTATTGTAAACAATATTGCTGACTTCACAGAAGGAAATAATTGATAAAAAATATATATTGAAGTATTATTGTTTTGATAGTGAAAAATATAAAAAGAAATTTATTGCTGTTTAAACAAAGGAAGTTTTAGAACTATAAAAAAAATTTTGTTAATTTGACATATTCAAAAAGATACATAAAATAATTATTTACTGAAAAATTCTCCTCTTTTTCAGTAAAACAATCAATTTTTTCTTTATTTTAATTTATCTTCACCATAAAATAAAATTAAGATAAAGAAAAACCTTATACAGAGAAGAAATGCAGTCATAAAAATTTTAGTCTAACTGGTTTTGAAGTTGGGCAGCTGATAACCAATAATCACTAAAATATTCTATTTTTGAATGCATATTGCACGCCTCATAGCGCAAAGCGCGTGAGGTTGTGCTTTATACTCGACTTGTTAAGATCAAGCAATTTTGTGATATCTTTAAATGCCTCTATCACAACCATATTACACTTATACAATGATATAAGTAGATGTACACCGAAAAAACACTTAAATTAAACCATCTGTTACTTTCTAAAATCATTTCATGTTGCTATTTTGAAAAAAATTTTACGTGGACGTCCGGATGTCACCCCATTTTGGATGTACCAACGATTACTCCCGAACAAATTGATATTTCAAGACCGGATCTTTTTTATTAGTTTAAGAATTCGATGAACTGGGTCCGTATTGCATATCAGTAGCCTAGCTTACGTATTTTTTTTTTTAAATTGAATTTTCATTAAAATTTACTACGATACAACCGTACAAAGCTAAACGAACTTTCTTTATTTGTCACGTGAAAACTATGGCGCCACTTGATCAAGCTAGATTTTTTTTTAGACTGCGTGCGCGCACGACAAGAAGAAAGGGCGCCGATATTTAAAAAAAAAAAATAAAAAATACTCTGTAAGAAATTACTTAATTATAATTTTTTAATTAATTACACAATTAATTTTTTTTTTTAAATGAATGAGTGCTATGAGGCATGCACTTTTGGATTTTCCAAACTTTTTATAACTTTGATTAAATTTCACGTTAGCAAGAAACATTATCATAATATAAATAACGGATAAGTAAATCCGAGTATTAAAAATAAAAATTCATTAGTGGATTATACAGAGATTATTATTTTTATCTTTCGCAGACACTTGTCTTCTTTGCCTTCATCTTATTAAACTCGTGACGAGTGATACACGCCCAAGAAAGACATAATAAATTTTATCGGTGAATAAGAATATAAAAATTAATTTTTTACAATACGTATTATTAATTTTATCAATCTATTTAATTGCTGATGAATAATTTGTTGTGTTGTGTTTATGATACAAGATCAAAAAATAATTGTTTTGATTATAAATAATAATAATTATTGCTTATGAACTTTGTCTAGAAATGTAAAATAAAACGGATTGCTACATATATTTACAGTCAACGGAGTTTATTCTCAGTAATCGTTTGTTTTTGCTAATAAATTTTTGACGTTATCATTCAAACAAAAATACCCACCGCGTATTTGTTTCAGATCTTTAAAAGCAAAATCACTATTTTATTATTTATGAGTTTAAATTTCTCTTGTGCGTAATTCATATAAAATATCCATTTATCCAGATGAATATTATTATAAAACAAGTAATAAATATTTAAAGTTAAACTACCGAGTCATAGTACGGCTTTATGTAGACTATTATCGCATCTGAGTGATGGTGTTGCGTCAATAAATTTTTTTCCTAATATATAATGTGTTTGTATCTTATACGCTGGATGATGAATAATCAGTGACAGCGAGAATCCCCGACCTAATAGTAGTGTAGTATGATTTAAATAATTATAAATATCTGCGTATAAATATAAATATAAATTCCCGTGACTTAAGAACATTTAATTTATTTAATTGCGTGATTAATGTGAAGATATATATTGTTTTTTTTTTTTTTTATATAATTAATTATATATCTGAAGTTATTTTTAATTTATTCCAAGTCAATCCAAATAATAAGACGAAGCACTTTAATTGTTATTAATTATATTGTAAGTGAAGAAAATATTTATTAAAATGTTTCTTAATGAGACACTTGTGCTGCTGACGTACACAGCTAATATGATGGCGACTTTGCCAAATGAAACCAGTTCAAAAAATTTCAGTAATATAAATGTTGATGGTCATAGTGACAGTGAAGCTAATAATAATTATTTAATAACAACTTTGTCACCCGAAGAAGAAGAAAATAAATTTAATTTAGAAGATGGTGAGTATGAGTGTGTGTGTGTGTGTGTGTGTATGTTAAAGTGACATTAAAATAATGATTAATGATTTTATTTTCTACCTTAATGTTTTTTATATTTATAAAAAAATTGTGAGAAGATAAATGAAGATGAAGATTATTAATATCTTGTATTATTGTTGATTTAAAGTTTGTACATTCACACACGAACTATGTTTTGACCAGCGCATTCGACTTCGGACATGCTAAATTACATATATTGTATTTTATTTATTCTTTATCGGAGCATAGAACTCGTAGGTCACTAAGGTGATGTGATAACCAGGTGACCCTGATGCGAAAGATTACTAAAATAAAAATTTTTTAATTTCCAGGATATTAAATTTTGGTTTTAATAATGTCACATGTGAAACTGTCAAGTGATATATTTAAAAAATAGTCGGATAACTTCTTCATAATTTAATAAATAATAATTTGTTGGAAAAAGAATAAATAGTGAAAATTAATTTAGCCTGTAAATTATTTTCTAAATTTTCTTGTCATAAAATTTTTCATTCGACATTTCAAACTTTGACATTTCCTTCCCGGAAATTCCACGAGTAATTTCCTTTTTTTTCAAGATAAAAACATTTCAAAATTATATGTTATTTCAGATTGGTATATGTGGCGATGTTATCAGCCTTACGGTTGTTTTTATATCGGAGCACCTTGGTCGGGTGAAAATCGACCGGTATCAACATTTCCAGGTCGTCCGGAAAGCGTCGACCCTCACTATATGCTCTACACTCGAGAACGTTCAAATGACCCATATGAGCTGCTAATTGATCAGTTGGACATTATTCGAAAATCACCGTTGAAAAATAATGTAACCCTTTACTTTATTGTTCACGGGTACCTTGACAATGGCGACAAAACATGGATTTTAGTAAGTTTTTTTTTTTTTTTCATTATTGTATTACCTGAAGAAACAAATTAAGATACCTATAGAATTAGTTAGTAATTTTTATACTTATCATTTATCAAAGTAAAAAATCTCCTACCTTTATATTATAATTTTCTTTATTTTATTTAATCTGACAATTGTAAGATGATGAAAATAAAGTTAGCCGATATTTCAAAATTTTTAGAAATTTTTTATTGAAAAAATTTCAATTAAAAAATTAAAAAACAAAATTTCACATGTAAAAAACTTAAAAAGGTATTAGTGCAATTTTTTAAAAATATCTTTTTAGTTGTAATTTAATTAATAAAAAAAATCAAAAATTTTTAGGCGTCTGCTAACTTCAGTGTCATTGTAAAATGACATTTGAAATTTTTGGAATTTTTTTTAACAAACATATTACAGGAAGAAAAATTTAATTAGAAAATTACATTTTTAAAAGCTCAAAAGAATTATAAATGCAATTTTTTATAAATAATTTTCTAAACCAATTTATTTAAAAAAAAAAAAAACCAAAAATTGTCAAGTGTCTACACAGAAATTTTCATCATATTTGACACAATATTGGTGTAACTGACTGTTTTTACACAAACTAATGTTAATTCCAGATTCTAGTGTGTTAAATCAACACATGAGAATGTAAAAATTCTAACACTAAGAAAAAAAAATTTACTTGAAATTCAAAGTAAATAATTTTGAAGAATTTAATCTTCTTGATTTGAGTAGAAAATTTCTTAAACTAACAAATTTTTCTTGGTTTAAATAAATTTTACTTAATTTAAGAACTTTTCGTCTTGATTCAAGACAAAGAAACTCTTCAAAATTATTTTCTTGGTTCAAGAATTTTTCTCTGATTCAAGAGAATTTTTTTTTTCAGTTTTTTCAGTTTTTTTTTTTTTCAAATTTATATTGATAATTTATTAATCATTACTAAATCATTAGTATTCTTTATATTAATATATTTTGTATGCGTTACTTTACATGAGAAAGCATCACGTGTTCAAAATTAATTAAATTACTTTATGATGTATTTTGAAAATTACCATCCGATTTATCACCTTTTCTATTTAATTTTATCAAGCTTTATTTCTTATTGGAAAAAATTAATAAATTAATTAATTATATCTGATATAAATAATGAATCGAAAATATCACTTGTAAGTTAGTGTCCATCTATTGGTATTGACTGTCCATCTACTGGGGTTTTGAACTTTTTCTTACATCCTTCTTTTTCATTAATTACTACAACGTTTAACGAAGTTTTACTTATTTTTTCCTGGTTAATTATATATTTTTACATAAATATAATTTACTTTATCACAACTTATCTGAATATTCCTATATTGTTTTTTTAATAGAATACGAGAGTTTGCTTAACTGTCCATCTATTGGGGTATTTACCCTACACAAAAATTTTTCCACTTTGCACAATGACAAAAAATTTTTTACAGTATACTTATTTAATTTAAGTGACATCCTAATACGTTAAAACTTATGAAGATTGTAATAATACTTATTGCTATTGCGTAGAGAACAAAACGTGAGTTGCTGATACGTGAAGACTGCAATGTAGTGGTGGTTAATTGGATTGCGGGAGCAGGGCCTCCATATCCTCAGGCCGTTGCCAATACAAGACTTGTTGGTGCAATGACGGCTAGATTGGCAATGCAATTGATACAAGAAGCTGGTGTACCTGAACATCGTTTTCATGCCATTGGTCACAGTCTCGGAGCACATACATGTGGTTACATAGGCTACTACTTACGTGTGCAATATGGTTACAAACTTGGACGAATTACTGGTATGTCTTCCCCCATCATTACTCTGTACTATAATTAATAACAATTTATCAAATTTTAATCTCAATAATTATCTTTAGTTTCTACAAGTTATTATTTATATAAAATTTTTTAATATCATATATCTGTCAAACTCCAGGCTTAGATCCAGCAGAACCTCACTTCAGTAATACTTCACCGATGGTAAGATTAGATCCAACAGACGCCGAATTTGTGACAGCTATTCATACAGACTCGAGCCCTTTTGTTACTGGCGGGCTAGGAATCACCCAGCCAGTTGGTCACATCGACTTTTATCCAAACGGCGGACGTAACCAACCGGGATGCAACCATGGTGTGCTCAATTCTATTACACTTGAACGCGGAAGTTTTTTTCGCGGAATTAAAAGATTTCTTGGGTGCAATCATATTCGCAGTTATGACTATTTCATAGAGAGCATCAACACAAATTGTCCATTTATCGCGGTTCCTTGTTCCTCGTGGAGTAACTTTCAAGAGGGAAAGTGTTTTGACTGCATAAGTCAGTACTGTCCTAGGTTTGGATTTGATGCGCAGCCTGGAAATTATCACGCATCTGTATATCTGATGACTGCAGCTGAAAAACCTTTTTGCAGTTTGTATTTTATTTTATTTTTTTTTTTTTTTTTTTTTTTTTTAATGACACTGAAATTAGCAAACATTTAAAAATTTTTTGAAAAATAAACTGGATCAAGAAAATTATTTTTGAAAAATTGCACTGATAATTTTTTAGAGCTCCTAAAGATGAAATTTTTTAAAATAAATTTTGTTACTGCAGTTAATTTGTTAAAAAATTCTAAAAATTATCAGATATCTCTCAATTTCATAAAAATAAAGTTAGTTGACATCTAAAAATTTTTATGATTTTTTCTATTAAAGAATTATTAAAAAAAATTTTTTTCATTTGTTAAAAACTTCAAAAACTATAAGTGCAATTTTTTTTCAAAATATTTTTTAGTTATAATTGAATAAATTAAGCAAACTAAAAAAAATCAAAAATGTCGGCTAACTTTATTATTATCTCAATTTCAGTATCCTTGTTTTTTTTATAAGAGGAAGTTGGTATCAAAATAGACCACCTAGAAATTTATTCAAAATTAAATACAAAAATAATTTCATACATTTAAAAAAAAAAGTAAAAAAATAAATAATATTTCTTTACAAAAAAACATAATGAATTTTTGAAGAAAAATTTTTATTGTTTAAAAAATAAATTGTTTCTTTGAATGTTTTGAAAAATTTTTAATTATCTCCAAGTAAATAATAAAAAAAATTAATTGCTTCTTCACTTATTGAAGAAATTAAACAAAAATTGCTTTTATTAAATTAACAGTTAATAGTTTGCTGTTGGTAATTGTTGGTTAATTTCAATAGCACTTTCTCCGTCCCTAAATATATATAATTACATAACACGAACTGGTGATTTTTTAGGAGGACATTATAAGATAACAATAAATATTTCCAAGACAGCAGAGAGCGTAGACCACGGCGGCGAAGTCGGTATGTTTGTTATAAGAGTAATTGGAGCGGCTACTAATGATAGCAATCATAATTATGAGCACGATAGTGATCGTGACAGTGATATAAAAATATCAGAAAGACTTGAAATTAGCGAGGCGTCAAAGTATTACGAGCCCGGAAGTAGCCATACTGTTGTACTACCTGGTGAAATTGTCGGAACTCCTGAAGCCGTTGAAATAACATGGGAATACCAAACTTCTGTGTTTAATCCATTAACTTGGCGTCTATTACATAAGCCAAAAGCTTACATTGATTCTTTGAGAATTGATAGCTTGGAAGCCGGTCAAGGGTAAGTTTTTGACCATGAAAGAATAATTAAATAACTATGCCCTAAAAAAATAAAACTATTGCTATGAAGCTCATAAAAATTAAAAATATTCAAATAAAGTTATTGAAATTTTTAGATTTTATTTTTATTATTATTTCTCAAAAATTGTTACACTTAAAAAATTATTTTTTTTATTCTATTGTAACAAATCATTAAACAAGTCTATAATTAATTTTTTTTATAATTTTTATCGACTACAAAATTTACAATATCAAAAATAATTATCAACTTAAAAAGTGTTGGTGTTTTTACACTTAAATGTAACATTTAATTACCAACAATAAATTTTCATTGTAACTAGCATTTATTTTAACTTCTATTTACAATTATTTTTGATTTATAAGTTCTATTTTCCATTGAGTTATGTTTCATTTTAACTATTAAACACCCCGGGGCAAAATGGGCTGAATTATTTCGGGTGCTCAATTTCAAAACACAGTAACTAACGTTTAAAAATTTTTTTCAATTTTTCTTATTAAAAAAAAAGTTTGCCCGCCAAATTAATGACAAATTTGATTTATGAATAGAAAATACTCAAATATAAATATTTTTTTTAAATTAGAAATATAAATATTTTTATGAAAAAATACTTGAAATTAAGGTTTAAAAGTTATAAAAGTTATAAAAAATTTTGCAGTTACTGTGTTTTAAAATTGGGCAGCCGATTTATTGAATATCAGAGGTAAATGATATTTTAAAATTGTAAATGCCTGAGATAAAAATCAATTGTTCTGTAAAATACGTAAAAATGTAAATTTTGGCTCCGTTTTATTTTGTTCTGTTGTTTTATTATTCTCTAGGCTCCCCAATTGTAAAATATCTATTTAAAGTGTACTTTTTCGAGGTCAAAACTCTGGCCAACACATCTCTATTTTCAAGGTTAAAATTCTCCCGAAAAATTCTGTAATCTTTTTTAATCAACTCTACTTTAAATCTTTCAGAAGCTCATTCTTTACCTATTTATTAAAAGTCATAAAATAAAAAAATAATTCAGTGTTTATGTACATTTTAATTATTATTATTATCATTTTGAAATAATCTTTATTAATATTAAATATCTTTGCACCTTGTGGATTATATAAATTTTAAGAATATTTGTATAATTAGCGTAAGTCCCTTAGGAAGCTTTGGCTTCAGGGTCTAAATTTTTTTTAAATAATTTAATAGCTATTCAAAAATAAAGAATACATAATTTTATTGACTTAACATTGAGATGTTTTGAAAAGAGTTTTGACTTTGAATAGAAAAATTTTGAACTGTCATTTCTCAATGTCAAAAATTAAAAAACTATTTTTTTTATTTTTACAGTATAACAGTTTGTCCCGACGAAGGCAAAACAATCACAGCGAATGAACCTAAAATATTGACCGCAGAAAATTGCCGCTATCACACACCAGATTCAAATGTAATATCACATTAAAGAGTAAGTTAATTTAATCATCGGCGAAAATTTGCTCTTATCTTAATTGAAATATTAATTTTATTTCTTATTATTTTAAATTCGAATAGAAATAAATTATCAGAACGTGGGAGTGCGTGCGTAAGATGTATATAATATCATTACTATTAATTACATATAATAAATGTTATAATTTATAATCTAAGCTACCTAGAATTATTAATTTTAATTATTACTAAATGTTGGCATAAAAATATTTAATTTATTATCAAATAAGTAGAGCTGTATAAATAAAACATGGAATGTTAATTTTAAATCGATTAATCAATTGTTAATTTAAATAAAGTATATAAAAAAAGTGTAATAAAGGTACTAGTACGTACCAGTTAAGTTAAGTCATAAAACAACTATTATACCGTAGAATAGACATAATGTAGATGAATATTATCAACGTTTTATTCATAATAATCGTCTAGTTATATTATATATATACTCCTACATGATGTGAGCGTGACACACATCGACATTCTACGATTTTAATACTACTGGTCCCAGTACACTCGCATTCACCTGACAACTCAAGTTAAGGCTTAAGCTAGTGCTACAGGTAGCGGAGCAACAACAGCGGGGGCAAATCCCTCATTTCTCGTATACACACGAGGCTTTAGCAAATCTTACGTGCATTCAGTCGAGCACCGGTACTCTATACAGACGTGCTTTTATTTACAATATTTATTTATTTTTTTATAATTTCAGTGTCTGTTGAGAATTTTATAAGAATTAATTAATTAACTTAACAATTCAATAATTTTAATTATTATTGATAAATTGTAATTTGTAAAAACATTGATGTTAAAAAGTGCAATTGTATAATAAATTTGTGAAAAATTGATATTACCATCAACAATTACATGTGAGATATTTTAACTAAAATATGGATTAACAAAATGCTCGATAAATAAAAATAATGTTAAGTGACATGCGAATTAAAAACCGATGACAATGTAAGTCACAAGTATATTTTTTATTTATTTAGTAGAAAAATTTAACAATAGCAATAAATAATTTCATTTTTAGAAAATGTGGCTTTTAAAATTGCCGGTATTATTTCTGCGGTTAAATTTTATTGTAGATTATAAATCACATAATAATAATTATAAATTATAAGAAAACAATTTTATAAAGAATTCTCAAGATTTGTATCATTCTAAACGATAAATGTTATATAGTTTTACCGCTCTTCATGTCATTATTATGAAAATAACAGCTACTTGTTCTTATTTATATTTATATTTATATTTATACTTCAAAGTACATCTATATATACTTATGCGAGATGATTATAATGAAGCACGCGACTGCGCTTTCTCCACGTAGGCGTCATCAACAGATTCGGTAGAATCTAGCGCCAAGTTCCGTTCTCAAGCCAGACTACCGAGTGTGTATATACCGTAAGCAGAACGGTTTTTTGAGGTTATAAATTTTTTTTCAAATTTAATTTGATTTTTTTTTTATATGATATTTTATAATAGTAGTTCGTGCTTTTTATTACGCGTATTACTTGATTATTATCAATTATCTTTATAATTTCTATTTAAAATTATTAAAAATAATCAGCACAAACTATAGCGACCCAGATTTTTAGATTTTAACTTTTTTCTTATGTAAAAAGCGGACGGCCAGAGACTAAATAATATAAGGATGCATGCTAATCTTATACTATGCGTGACATTAATTTATCCCTGTTCGTGTTGCTTTTGTATTATTGAAAATGTGTATTTTTGGACATTTGAATAAATGGATATGGAAATTTTTAAAAATGGACATTTGATTTTTTGGAAATAATAATAATAATAAAAGTACTCAAGTAAAATAAGACATTAATATAAATGGACATTAATAAAAAAGGAAATAATTATAAATGTACAACTGCACTTATGGCCAACTTAAAAAAATGAAATCCCTATTTTTGAAAATATCTCCAAATGGAAATAAAAGTATTTGGTAAAGAGTTCAAATGAACAAATGGATTAATGGACATTTTTTTAGATAAAAATTTATAAAAATGGATAATAATATAAAAAGACATCAGTAAAAATGGTTAAAAATACAAATGTACAATGGAATAAAAGGAATAGTCACTTAATGAACATATGATTTTATGAACAATTGAAAAAATGGACATTTAAATTTTAGGAAAAGTGAATAAATGGACATTTGTATAAATGCCCATCAATAAAAATGAACATTTAAACAAATAAACTTCGATAAAAAAAATACTTACTTAAATGGAAATCAGTAAAAATGGACATTCATAAAAATCTAAATTAGTAAAAATGGACATTCGTGAAATTGGACATTTCTAAAAATGAATAAATGTTTTAAATTTAATTATAAATAATTATGATGTTGATAAATTATAAAATTAGGGTTTTTGGTGTGCGTAAAGGAAAAACGATGTCAGAAGAGCTGAGAACTCGGCTACCAAAAGGCATCTTCTTGTAATATTTGATGAGCTATTTGATGTTTTATCGTTTTCCGTAAAAACCTACGAAGAAGATGTCTTGGTAGCCGAGTTCCCAGCTCTTCTACTGACATCTTTTTTCCTTTACGCACACCAAAAACCCTAATTTTATAATTTATCAACTTCATAATTATATTTGTAATTAAATTTAAATCATTTATCCATTTTTAGAAATGTCCATTTTTACTAATTTCCATTTTTATGAATGTCCATTTTTACTGATTTCCATTTAAGTAAGTATTTTTTTATCGAAGTTCATTTGTTTAAATTTTCATTTTTATTGATGGGCATTTATACAAATGTCCATTTATTCACTTTTCCTAAAATTTAAATGTCCATTTTTTCAATTGTTCATAAAATCATATGTTCATTAAGTGACTATTCCTTTTATTCAATTGTACATTTGTATTTTTAACCATTTTTACTGATGTCTTTTTATATTATTATCCATTTTTATAAATTTTTATCTAAGAAAATGTCCATTAATCCATTTGTTCATTTGAACTCTTTACCAAATACTTTTATTTCCATTTGGAGATATTTTCAAAAATAGGGATTTCATTTTTTTAAGTTGGCCATAAGTGCAGTTGTACATTTATAATTATTTCCTTTTTTATTAATGTCCATTTATATTAATGTCTTATTTTACTTGAGTACTTTTATTATTATTATTATTTCCAAAAAATCAAATGTCCATTTTTAAAAATTTCCATATCCATTTATTCAAATGTCCAAAAATACACATTTTCAATAATACAAAAGCAACACGAACAGGGATAAATTAATGTCACGCATAGTAATAGATGAGAAACTACAGTGAAAAAAAGATATTTTCTCTCCTCCGTGCGGAAAGCGTCAATTTTCCGCTCGCTGCGCTAAACGAAAATGCCGCTTTCCGCCTCCGTCGAGAAGAAAAATAGTATTCTCACCACGGGTAGGAAATAAGAAAGCCTCAGATCACATGTTTGTCGACCTCGGCTTCGCCTCGGTCAACAATTACATGTAATCTGAGACATTTCTTATTTTCCTGCCCCAGGTAAGAAAAATACTATTGACAGCTTGCAATTACACACGCCAGACGGCGCAAGAATAACTTGGTGTGCGTCATTGTGTACTTCAATTTTTTTTAAAAGTCCTAGTAGATAGATTTTAGGAATTTCATAAAAAATAAAATATTTCGTAACCACGCACACTAAATACGTTCCAAAATTGTTTCTTTTAATTTTTAAATTTACAAAAAAGTTTTTTTTAATTTCCGAAAATCATATACAACCATATCGGTTACTTGGATTTTTTTATTTTATATCTTTTTGTAAAGAAATAAAAATTTTTTTTTTAATAGTTTTATGAACGTGGACTTGGCGCAATTTTTTTTACAGCGAAACTGTATTTGTTCGGATCGCGTTTACCAACACAAACTCAACATAAGAAGCTGTATATATATTTTGTACACTTAAAAAAAGTAAATAAAATATATTTACCTTTTACTGATCCATGTCTACATATGTACACTGTAAGATAAACATTAATTTAGGATTAGCGCAAAATTGCTCATATAATATAGTAAAAAGTACATTTTTTAGATAAAATAAATTCACCGGATATATTTGTTGTAAAAGACGTCAAAGCTGGATCATTAATGCTGATAGTAGATAGTATTATATGTAATATATATTAACAGACAACTTTCTTGATGTATTTTGTCGTTAACTATTTTTTTTTCTTTTATTTTATTAATTAAAACGACGACTGAGAACTGAAACTGAAACTGACCGATAATTAATTATTAATAGTCAGACGAATGTTTATGTGTTTAATAGTTATATATGTTTTTATCCTTGTACTGTGTACTATTTAGACACTGAGAAAAAAAATTATTTTGAAAAAAATGAGCAATGTAATAAGAAATTAGATTATTATTTATTTATTTATTTATGCCAAAGCCTGCTGGCCAAATGGCAAGTAAAAATAACAAAAATACAATTAATTACAAATTTAAAATATTAATAACAATAATTTACAAGGCAAGTAAAAACAAGAAATACAGTTTATTACAAATTTAAAAATATTAATAATAATTTACAGATATTATAAGTACTTTGATTTCGATTTCTCTAACAATCTTATAAACATTTATGAACTCTCTTTATACATCAAAGTTAAACAAATAGTCAAAAATTTTATTCTTGAAATTAATTTGTTGAAAATTTTGATTTCTTCAGCGAAGAAATCAAAATTGTTCTCACGGTAACTTTCTTGTAGAAAAAAAATTCTAAATTTGGGAAAAAACAAATTTTGAATAAAAATTCGTAAATTTTCTAATCTAAAATTGTTTTTTTCCGAATCAAAAAAGTTTAATAAATAAATAAATAAATAAAATAATATAAACGGGATTTTAGTAAGTGGTAACTCAGATGCCCGAGGCATTTTTTCACCGTATGATGCACGTCAACTTGACCCACCGCAATTCTACATATAGATAATTTTCACTCTCCGTTTACTTTCCTGCAAACTCTCTCATATCATGCGAACGTACAAATATCTGCGCGCTCTTTTGTAATAAAATAATTATTATTTTCACTGGTTTGATCTCCGGTAATCGAGGATAAACATTTTAAACTTATCACTAATCAATCTCGGAATTTGTTTTATCTGCCTGCGCAAACACCTTAACTTGATTTTTAATGATTGAGGATATCCAGGTCTAGTGAACATTCTTAATGATTTAGGATTTAACAGCGTCTTTTTATAACATATAAAGATTTTATTATTTTAGTTTAATTTATTGGAAATTATTAAATTAAATTGCCGAAGATTCTAAACATTTTTAGAAGAAATCTATACGTTGAGAAAGTAGAGTAGCCATCACAGAAACTCGGTCGCGTGGTTTTCTGACCTGCTTTGAAAGTGGCATAACTTCCTCGATTTTTTTTATTATTCCTTTAAATTCTTTAACCACAATTTTTGCAGATACTTTTTATCTTTCCTTTCGAATTGTATAAAAATAAGTTTTTATTTTATTTATTTATTTATTTATTTTTTTCTTCTCAATACTTATGAACAAGTTTGGAAGAAATATTTTTTATAAATAATAAACTTTTTTTCTTTAATGTTCCTGAGGCGTTACACTTTCTATAACAGTCTACACATGAGATTCTATCACATGTTTTTTTTTTTTATGTAATCTACTATTAAATTGTCGTACATTATTATAAACATTATCATTTTTTATATTTAGTATTAAACTCTCAATTAATTTAATTTAGATCCCGTGAAAAAAAAATTTTATAACATTAACTCGTAACTTCTTTTGTGTAATTAATTATTTTAAAAAATCTACTACAATTATGACATTTTTCTTAACGAAGTCAATGTAAAAAAGAAAAATTGTAATAAACATTAAAATAATTTTTAATATTAAATTATGCAGAGAAAATACTTACGTAGAATTTTAATAAATTAAAATTACTCTTATTTCTGATGAATTAATATTTTCCGTAGCATCAAATTGTTTTGAACTGAAAAATAAAGTTACGGTCAACTAATTTCTTCCTGATTGAATTAAATATAAGGATTTCTTCCTGATTTAATTAGATAAAAGGATAAATAAATTAAATCTATAAAGTTTCTCCAATGATAATAAATCAAATTTACTCATAATTGTTCTCTTAAATTTTATCAAGTTCTCGGAGAACAATTCATTTTTTAAACATAGAAAATTCTGACTTGCACTTTAAAAATAATAAGAAAAAAATATTGCAATTCATGAGTACCCACAGCGGTTATTATCGTAATTTCCGCATCGCGCTTAGTCTCTTGATCCGACACTTTAGCATGCTTTTGCACGTGCAAGCAAAAGTGTACAATCAAATTAATCGACGATGCACGACGGCTTCCTACATATACGTACACCGTGGAATATTAAGAAAAAAAACAATGCGATTAAGCCTAAAGACCATTAGCCTTCACGTAATACCCTCATACTGACATTAGATATTTTATTTCTATCTCCAGATAATTTTACAAAAACATTATTAATTTTTTTTTTTTTTTATTTTATAACACTCGTCTTCGCAATGATAAAATACATAAGTCTTCAAAATGTTATTATAAAATAATAAACGCGTAATCGTTGTACGTTTCAACTACTGTTTGTACATTATTGCAATAGTTCACCGCTTGAATGTCAAACGGCAGCGTTAGAGTCTTAAACCGCGGTTAATAAAATTGAATTGCATGTGCAAAGAAGTAATTTTTATTGTCCCGTAAATTATTAAATTGAAATTAAAATAATAAATTATAATTAAATTTTAAATAATGAAAATAAAGTTAGCCGACATTTCAAAATTTTTATAAATTTTTTATTGAAAAAATTTCAATTAAACAATTAAGAAAAAAAATTTCACATGTACAAAACTTGAAAAACTATAAGTGCAATTTTTTATAAATATCTTTTTAGTTGTAATTTAATTAATAAAAAGAATCAAAAAGATTTTTAGACATCTGCAAACTTCAGTGTCATTTAAAATAGGCAAGGAAGAACAAGAATTTTATTTAATGCTCTTATACTTTAAACTCGCAAATATATCTAACTATACTTTCCCCCTGATAGCTTTTACATTATATATAGTTATAGTTAACGTTAGCAAGCATGTAAATTGTGAAATACTTTCTTCAAGACAAGATCATTTGGCATAGCTTCTATTCGAGCGTCCGGTTAAAAAAACTTGCCAACAATAATTAACTATTTTAAAATAATTAAATCATTAATCATAGGCCCCCGCAGTTAATTTGTAATCACAATTACCTATTAGCATTAGATACACACAGATTTATCTATTAGTTTAATTTATACCCGTGTAATGCGTCAGTTCCTTGTTAAAAAAAATTTATTTATAAGACATTAAAATTTACGGCGCAAAAAGATAACAAATTGAATGAACTTGGTAATAAATTTAAAATTATTAATTTTAATTATAATTATTAAATTACTAAATGATGTAGTAAAAAAATAATTACTTAAAAATAAATCTGTTGAGATTTTTAAATGAAAATTTTTTTAACAAATAAATTATGGCAAAAAAAAAGTAGAATAAAAAATTGACATGTAGAAATTTTAGAAAATAAAAAATGCAATTTTTTAAAAATAATTTTTTGGAAAAAATCTATTTGTCAAAAAAAATTAAAAAATGGTTAAGTGACTGCTAACTTTAATGTCATATTTTTTAATTTTATCAGAACTTTTTCATAAAATCTCAGTACCAGGATGTTAATTTTTATATCCGTAATATTACCATTAATCATTTACTCATTACATTTACTTCCGGAAGTTGTGCATTATATAAGTAAATATTAAAAAAAAAAAAAAAAATTTACAAAAGTTTTTTGTAGTTCATTTATCTGCGTAGCAATTTTTTGTTTTTGTAGGATACATAATGATGTGACTGGACGTTTAAGTGGGAATCGCACACACGTCCAGTACAACACACGTAGAGAAAAAGTGAAATCTGCTCGATTGTTGATACTTTGCATTGCTCCCGCATGCTCAAGAATTAAAATTAATCTAAAGAATGTTTATTACACAACACAAATAAATATTATTTTTTTTCAAGGCCTCTCATTTTTGTTTATTATTTTATACTTAATCGTTACACTCGTATAAGCTTTTTAAACTCATTAGCAATTAGTGATTAATTACATAATTTTTCTTAGTGAGCCCACAATGAAAATAAATTATAGTTTAATTAATTTATTAATTGTATAAAATTAATGAGAATACTTGTGCATTAAAGAATGAGGATCGGGGGTCCAAAGAAAAAACTCATTATAACAACAAGAACAACAACAAAAGGTACACTTTTTATCCTTTTTATCACATTAACACCGATAGCATGTTCAACAGCCGCTGCAGCTGCCGGAATTTTGGACCCGTGGCAATGGACACGAAGTGATAAAATTGAAGTTAATATACCGTGGTTGCCATGTATGTTCAATTGAAATTTTTTTTATTTATCAATTTACAGGGTATAATATTGAAAAATTAATAAATTTGTAGTTGAAAATGAAACGAGGTGTTATGATGAACTCGGCTGTCTCAATATAACTAGGAGCTGGTACCATTTGATACATCGGCCGCTCAATGTCTTTCCTTTGCCCCGGGAAGTTATCAATACGAGGTTTATACTTTATACAAATGATAATCCGACAGAGGTAATTCAATTATTTAAAATATTAAAAAATGTATACTAATTTTAAGCTTCATTACAAGAAATTCATAAACATACACTGATAAAAAAATTTACTTGACTCAAGAGTAAGCCAAACTCTTGAACCAAGAATTCCATTTTGAAGAAAATGATTTTCTTTAGTCAAGAGAATAAATTTTTGACTCAAGAAAATTTTCTTAGATCAAGAATAATTTCTTAACTCTAGAATTTATTCAGCATCATGACAATAAAAATTAAGTTTTTTTTCAAAACTCCCTAATTGATTAATTATAATTAATTAATCACTCGTTTTTTTAAAATGTAACTTCAAAAATATTCTATAATTAAATTATTCAGGAATAGAGTTATTCAAGAATAGAGATATTTACGAATAGAGTTATTTAAGAATAGAGATTTTTACGCACAAAGTTATTTAGAAATAGTGTTATATATCAGATTTATTAAATACAAAAAAATCATTTTAAATACTAGGAAATATTTGTTTAATATTAAAAAGTGGTCTTTAATAAATGATTTGTTAACTATTGTACTGAAAAAAAATTAATTTGAATTAAGAGAAAAATTCTTTAACCAAGAAAATAATTTTGAAAAATTTTTATTCTTTAGTCAAAATTTTCTCAAAGTTATAATTTTAAATATTTAAAACTTAAATTGACAATTTTTTAATTTTTAATTTCTTGCTGAGTAAAATCTATCAAAAAGTCAACATTTTTTTGCGCAACTTTAATTTTTATTACATATGATGTCAGTTGATTGCAATAATTCTGGTTTTCTTCCATCCGTGAGCTGAAAAAGTTTGCAATAAAAAATACTCAACACATTAAATACGTAACTTTTGATAAACTTTGTAATTTCTCTTATGTTAGATAGTAATTTTTATTGCATCTTACGTAGGAAAGTTTTCAATATCTTATACATTCCTGTTAATAATTTGCATAAGAAAAAACAATTCGTAGAAAATATTACTTAGCGTACGTAACAAATCATTCATTAACAGGTTGTTATTATAAATTTTATCATAAATTTTTAATAAATTTTTATCTTGACTTTTATAAATTACCAAAGAATTTTTTGTCATATCAAATGATTTATTTTTTTCTCAATCTTAAAAATTATTTTTAGGGCCAAGTTCTTATTGTCGGAAAAGACAAATCAATAAAAAGATCAAATTTTGATCCAAAGCGCAAGACAAAATTTATTATCCATGGATTTATAGACACCACACTGAGTAACTGGGTCAAGGTAAATATTAAAAATCCAATTCGCAAATTGAAGTATATTATCATCATCATCATCATCATCATCATTGATGAGTCTTTATCTTTTGTTTTATGGAATTGATGTACATAATAGGAAATGAGAAATGAATTACTGCAACATGGTGACTACAACATAATTATCGTTGATTGGGCTGGAGGAAGTTTACCGCTGTACACCCAAGCAACAGCCAACACTAGACTTGTTGGTTTAGAGATTGCACATCTCATCAAGCATCTCCATGTAAGCACCTCTTTTTAATTGCCAATTAAATTAAATTTTATGAAAATGAAGTTAGCTGACATTTCAAAATTTTTATAAATTTTTTATCAAAAAAATTTCAATTAAACAATTAAAAAAAAAATATCATATTTTAAAAACTTGAAAAACTATAAGTGCAATTTTTTATAAATTTTTTTTGGTTGTAATTTAATTAAAAAAAAAAAAAAAAAAACAAAAAAAAAAAAAAA